AAATAGTTCTTAGGATTCACTAAACCTTTGGAAAATAAAGGAGGTACTTCGCTCTGCCATCTTTCAGGTATGGTGAAGAAAAGAAAATGTCCTCCCTGGGCAATACTAGATGGGTTGTGGTTGTTCTGGCCTTGCTCTTGGTGAGATAGCACTACTGTTATTTCTGTATATACCAGAACTGTCACTTTGCATTTTCTATTCTCAGTGAAGACATGAACATCTAGGCATTCCGCTTGTCTATGGGGAACTAGAATGGACAGGAATGGAAGCAAATGGAAACATTCTCATTATGCAAGTATAACTAGCTGTGACCTAAAATGTATTGCCTAAGACTTCTATAAGGGTAAAATTGAAAATTTTCTCTTATTTTTTTACCTCAATACTGTACAATCTAGTCACTGTTCAAAAACTCTTCAAACTTCACTTTTCATTACTTTATAGGATTTTTTTTTTTTTTTTGGTGAGGAGTAAATTAAAAGACATATGTAAAGCACTTAGAACAGTGTCTCTCCTATTATGAGTATTAAGTAAATGTTAGCTATTTGTATTATTTTTTAAAAGTTACATACAAAAGTAATATATTTTTAAAATAGCAATCAAAATTTACTTGAATTTTAATGTTTGGGGTTCCCTAGTACCATTTAACAAGACAGTTTGTTTTGATTTAAAAGGGCCTCAAGTGCTTGATACCACTCAGGGTTTATCATTAAACATCTTTATTGCACTTGTGTTTGCAAAGTACATTTTTGTCTTCTGTTAGTCTATCCAGTCACATTCTACGAAAACTTAGCGTCAGTGATACTGTTGAATAATGAAGAAGCTAGGGTCATGGAGAAATTAAATGGCACAAATGTATTCTTCATTCTAACCTCCCTCTAAATGAAGAAAGATGATATCTAAAATGTGGCTTTACATATGTATGCAGGTGAGTGTATGTGTACATACACATACATACACACACATGTATATATACCTTTATGTGTCCTGCTTTCAACAAATTCTTTTTTTTCTAAGCTAAAGACCATCCTTTAAGTTTTTAACTGAAAAATAACAGTTTGCCAGTTAATGAAAAGGAAATATTATTCCCATTGAAGAGCTGGAACTCTGAGATAGAGCTCTTTGGAATACTTCAAGAGGTTTGTCTACTAGCTTAGCTAATGATTTCTACTTTTACTCTACAGGAAGCAATTACCTTTTGTGATATGAACAAAACGTAAAAGATAATGTGCCCAATATTTTCTGTATGACTCAAGGAATAATCCAAACATATTATAAATAAGTCTGATTTTTATAAATATGGGGCCAGGCTGAGAGAGTCCCCTTGGTGGTAAACAGCTAAGAGTATTTAAGCATGTTGCGAGCACCACAGTTCTTCTTCTAAAAAGTCTTCCTTGCCTTTTACGATTGCCTTCTGTCTGTAGAAGCCTTTTTATAAGTCTGGCTTAGTCATCAAGCAAAATGCCTTATTTATTTCTGGTTGTTTATAAAACCATAGACCCATTCTACAGGATATTTATACTGTTGTCTATCAAAGCATTCACCGGAAGAAGAGAAAAGCAATTCCTCCACTAAATATATTGTGGCCTATGAATTATGAGAGTACATGAAAAAGTCCTGCTTTACCAGGTTATAAGTAAATGATTTTGTTCTCTTGAGTTAATGATGCAACTCGTTTAGGTTGATTTTGCCTTCCTCAGATGTCATAAACCTAATTTCTGCCTTTCATCTATAGTCCTTAGCTCATTGTGCAGTGACATCTCAGGCAAGAGGGGCTGAAGCAACGTCTGAGTTCAGTCCTCCTAAGAATATTGAGAAGAGTTTCTCCCTTTTTCAAAGAACTAGGGGGTATATTTAGCCACACAAGAATAAGTTTCTAGATATGGAGGGTAACCGAGAGGGGTAACATTTTTCTGAGTGGAAAAAACAAAGGAAAGGTAGATGCCTTCATGTGTTGGTATCACAGTTTCCATAGCCCTGGTGCTTCCCATAGTAGCTTTGAAATGAAGACCAGCAGTCCGTTCCCCTAGATAAGGCAACAACCCAGGGTGAGTGGAGGCTGGAGCCATACCCTACCTGCTCTGAGCCAGCTCATCATTTTGTTCTCTTTGCCTTTTGCCTACAGGGCTCCAGCAACATCATTCGACCCCATTCTGGACTAAGATTAGGTGAATTCATCAGAGCCCATGGATCACCACTGGTGACACAAAGTCAGAAGAGCTAACATGTCATTGGGACCCAGGGCTCTGAGGAATAAGCAGTTTCAACAATGTTACATGATTTCAAGGCCTTTTCATGTCTTTTGTTTTGGCCCTGTCACATATATCTGATCTACTTCCAATTTTTCATGTCCCAGTCTTCCAACCCTTTTATTAATCTGCTTCTTTCTAAATCATCTGCCCTACTTCCTGCCACCTTCTAACTAGAACAAACTGCTAAACCCTAGGACCTTTGCTCTATTGTTAAATTCTCCTCAAAAGTCACCCAAATTATCCTGGTAGCAAAGTAGAAGAGTTTAAAAATATTTTTGCAGTAAAAAGCCTAGAGATGACTTACCTAAATCTGTCCTAGTTGCCACCCATGGTTCATGCTCCTGCCAGAGGGAAGTTATGGGTGGGATTTTGCCTAGACATACTTTGGTCATCCTGTGTTTTGTGCTGCCCATCATTAATCAGCTATTGTTTAAGCAAATGAAAGCAAGTGTCCTTGTGAAGTGGTAATGGAGACATTGGTGGCATTCACATGGCTGAAAACTTGCAGCTCATCTCTGGCCCCACCCATGAATTGAATTCCAACCCCAGAATGTTCTTCTGAAAGAAAGACCATTTTCATTGCTAGACTCTAAGCTTCAAGAGGGCACACGTTGTGTCTGGATTCTGTTCATTCATGTATTTGAGGTGACATAGAATGAAGCTTCACCTATTATAGGTGAATAAGTCTTTGTTAATTTAAATTCGTACCCGATGAAGTTATTACTCTAGCACAGCATGAAGTTCTTTTCCATTAAATAGCACAATGTCAGCTGGATATGGCAGGGTAGAGTTTAATGTACTAATTTAAATACACAGAAATGAAAAGATCATTATATCCATCATTGGCCTTTGAATAAACATTAATTTATAAGGGCTGTAAGTGTATCTCAGAGAACAGGATTGGGGCAAAGTAGAAATAAGTAAAATTTAAGGAAGATCTCAAATATGAAAGGTAGTGGATCAAGATAAAATGCATTTTTTTAAATTACAGAGATGCAAAATTGATAAAGAGTTATCTGCTTAACTGAAATACTAAGTATTTTTCTCAGGACCTTAGCACCATTATTCCTCAATAAAGTAAAATAAATAAAATAGGTAATTTAGACTAGATAAGATCCTTCTAAATTTAAAAGGAAGATTATGATTGTAAATGATCAAAAATGTATACAATATAAATTAAACTCAGAACTTTATTCTTTCTTTTGGGAATGGGTCTAAGCCTAGAACAAAGGATCTTAATCTAAAATACTGTACTGCTTTGGATCTTTGAATTTCCTAAAACTGCGCAAAAATTTTGTATATATATTTTTCCTGAGGAGTAAGAATCTGCAGTTTTCATCAGATTCCCAAAGGGGACCCTGAAAACCTTAGAGTATAATCTTTCAAGTTGTCTATAAGATTTGGCAGATCACTTTGAATGTGTCAGTTATCATGCTAAACATTTATATGTAATAACTCATTTAACCCTAACTTCATAATACCACTCTTTTTTGTAAGAAGTAAGTTAACATTCTCAAATTCATACAGCTGATACCTGGTGCTGCTGGGATACTAACTCAGGCTGAATCAAAATGCCCTGCTTTTATATATCACATAGAACTATCCTCCTTTTGAGTAGACAGAACATTTGCCAAGAACCAGAGGTTTTTCAGTCTTCGCGATCATTTTCCATTTAAATCATCCTTTATATAGTAGCGGCCTCCTAAGGATCCTAAAGCCTTACTATGTTCAAGCGGCATTCCCCCATGGAACAAGCCTTCTAAAGCACAGAGGCAACCCTCTCCAGACTGGTCCCTTCAGTTTTTTTCCATTGTAAAACTAGCCTGCAGTAGGCATAATTTTGTCTTAACTGTCTATTCTAGACTCAAGTCTGGCCACATGGCACAAATGGACAACCCATACATTTGGAGAGACTCCAAGAAATCCATCCCAAGCACTGAATAGTCCTGGCCCTATTTCAAAATTTTACTAACGTTCCACAAATTGTGATTCCAGACACGTTATACCTTGCTCCCCAGGATAATGGAAGGCACAAAAGAGGCAGAAATTAAAATGTCAGTCCAGCTGGGTACACAATGTGGGCCAACAATGACAATGGAACCCATTGCCTCCTAGGTCACCTGAGGGTAGTACATCTGTGCTTTCTGTAAAAGAGTTGACAAAGTACTCCAGAGCAGTTTTCTTGATGTTCCTTAACTCACTGTAAATACAGTGTGCTACTTAACAATAGCAACTAAGATTTGACAAGCAACAGGAAACATTTTTAAAAATAGGTGAAAAGCTGAGATCAGAATTCCAGTGAACTTTGTAATTCAGCTACCACTGCCATTATTCAGGAGCGAAATAACTTGAAATATATGATGGAGGCTGGAGTGGCAAGTAAGATAAAGCATTGCTCTGCCCAGGAAAAGAGTGAGGATCATCCAAACCTTTTCACTAACTTCAAATTCTGAAGGTTGAGTCATATGCCATGTCACTGCAGATAGAAAAAAGAATATCCACAGCACAGGTGACACCTCAGAGGTCATACTCCCTGGGAGAAAAAGCTGAAAGCATCAATCTGAGAAAAATAAGTGAAACTCAGGACCCACATCAGAACTATGGATAACATAAGGGATTGAGGGGATGTGGGATTCGAGACATTGGCAATATCCTCACTTTTCTTACTTTTTGTTCTTTACAACCCCAACCACTGACAGAAGCCACTTGTTTGACCTGAACTAATCTGCTATGTTTTCTGTGCCTCTGAAGGTGCCGATTTCAGTGTCTGCTGTGTTACAGTGGTGTCTTTGCTGAGTTTGAAACTGGATACTCCAAGCAAGTAGATACCTTTTCTTCAGATATGTCAGGAAAAAAAAACTGAAACTACTTCAGCAAAAATAGCCTTTCTGCCATCTTCATCAAGTTAACGTGGAAAACTGATATTTATTCATGAAGGAGCTTGATTAAACTGTTCCACTTTATCATTTTACATCTTGATACAATAATATGGATACAGGTTATTTTCTTGCAATACTTCTCACCTTTTTTGCAATTGTTTTTTTGCTTGGCTGCCTTCTCCACGAGATTATATGCTTCATGAGGACAGTTTTTCTCATCATTATATCCTCAATACAATAATGTTTTGGAAGAAAATGAATAAAGAAAGTCCATGCAAAAAAGTCATCTGGTCTATGTCACAGGAATAGTGAATTCTTATCAGGTTAATCAAATATGAGTTGCATTACTCAAGAGTTTTTAATAACCAGTGGTTGTAAATTGAATTTTTATCATGTATTGGTGTAAATGTAATGTTGAATGTAGTTGTAAGTTTCAGGATAGGAATTAGTGTTCAGCCTGCAGTAGGTAACTGCTACTTTTGTCATTCTTTGGGTAACTCTTAGCCAGCTTGGGTCTGAGAAATTGCCCCCTCCTTTGCACTCAGCCCTGTCCTTGTTCTAGGAGTCTCCTCCCCGAGATGCAGTGGGTCTAGCATTAGCATGTGATCTTCTGTTCCTCCAGGGAACAGCCCCCGCTGCGGTCATGAGGCTTTGTTCATCCATACACTCAGCTGGTCTTGTCAGAGGAGCCGCTGAGTGAAAGGCTGTCCTTTACTTTGGGGAGAAACGTGCGAGACCTGTGGGGCTCCTACACTGAAGCCACACTGGGAAAGGTGGGAGAAAGAGAAAGAGACAGAGGGTCCTGATGACACCATTAGAGGCTTTAAATCACCCACAACTTTATTTTTCTGTCATTTGCCACAAAAATAACACTAGTACAGAGACTAAGTTATGTTACTTAGTTTTTATATTTTCAAAATAAAGGGCTCATTTAGATGGCTCTTAGTGGAAGTGAAGTTTGGTAGGTCTTGGTGTTATCAGGAAATGTGTTGTATTATTGGACTAAAATCTGCTGACCTAGATACAATGTTCCAGCTTCTGAAGCTACAGAAAACTCAAATTCATGTAATCTTTCTTCCATCTGACAACTCCATGTGAAGAGAGAACTTAGGTCTCATTTTACTCATTCTTTCATTCAATAAATATTTACTGAGTGCCTACTATGTGCAGACACATTTTCTTCTCCAAGCTGTATGTTTAGATCTTTCTTTAAACCATTTCTCATGTCACAGATATTCTGGACCAATACTGCTGCTCTTTCCTTAGAAGGACTCCCCTGTGTCAAATCATCCTTTTTAAAAATATGGAACAGAGCATGATAGCATTAATTCATTTGTGTTACACATTTCGTAGGTCCTACCCAAGTGTGAGGCACGAAAATAGCAAGGATGAATGAGATACAGTTTTGTGATCGAAGGACTCCCTGCCCAGAAGGAGGAGGCGGCCATGTAAATAGGCCAGTCAAGCACAGGCAGCTATAACAGAACCTAATGAGAAAGCAGCCAACTCTTCTTGGAGAGGGGAATCCCTAAAGAGCTTCTCACATAAGGGAGGGAAGTCAGGAGAGGAATATAGACCTTTGACAGGTGGATGGAAGTGGGAGAAGGTATTCCAGGAAGTCAGTGGCCTGCGCAGAGATAGGAGGAATGGATCAGCCTAGTGAGTCCAAGGAAGTACAAAGGCTTTCATAGGGCAGAAATGTGAAATGTGAGATAAGGGTATAGAAGAGGTAGAATTGGAAAACTATTTGGGGATAAGCTCATGATAGAGCCTTGAATGCCATGCCAATGCCTTGATGACCTTGGATTTTTTTTTTTTTTTCTACAAGTTGACAGGGCGCATCTAAAGTTTTTAAAGAAGGGGAACAACATGATTAAGTTTATATTTTAGAATGATACTTTGAAAGTATGTGACCCATGGGCTGGACCTCTAGGAAACTAAAGCAGAAAATCCAGCTGGGAGACTAGATTATCTGGATGAGAGGTACCAAGAAATGCCACTATGGCAGTAGCTGTGAGGATGGAAAGCTGGGGATGGTTTAAAGGCAGTGAAGATGAGAGGCCAGGCTGTCCAACAGGTCTTTGCTGCTCAAAGTGGGTCAGGTGACCAGTAGCATCCAAAGCACCTGGAAGCTTGCAAGAAATGCAGGTCCTCAGGGTCCACCACAGACATACTGAATCAGAAGCTGCAGGTTAAAAAGAGCCCCAGATCATTCACAGGTACATTAAAGTCTGAGAAACACTGACCCAGGTGCTTGGCATACAATGGTTAAGACACAAGACAGCTGAAGTTCCTGCCTTCCTGGAGGTTCCACTCTAGCAGGAAGGCAGATTTGAAACAATAATTAACCCTGAATAATAGCTTGCATTGAATAATGACTGTGCTTAGTGCTGGGGAAGTGGGAGAGCATGTAATAGAGGGACTCAGCCTGGGCTGTGGGTTCAGGGGAGGTTAAAACAAGCAGAGATGAAACAGGTTAAACAGGTGGAAAGTGTATGTGCATGTGTGTGAGCGTGAGAGGCTGCAAGGAGTGCTCCATGAAAAGAGACTGGCACGTGTGCAGACTGGAAGGAATTCAAAGGGTGGAAGTAGTAGGTGAGCCAGGAAGAGAGCAGTGGGAAGTGGGGCTTGAGGTCAAATGGGGAAGAGGTCCAACCTTCTAAATCATGCAAAAGATTTTGATTTTTATCTTAAGAAGAAAATGGGAGGAGAAAGCCCAGAACAGTGTCAGAAAGACTGTACATAAGAGAAAAACTGAAACAGCCTTCTCTGGTGGTTCTGACCACAGCCCATTCATTAGTGGAGCCAGTTCCTTTGGGCATTCTTAGTTTTGACTCTGTTTCAGAAAGATATGTTGAGCACATACTCTGTTTTAGGCCATATGCTAGATAAAGGAGAGATATTAAGATATCTAAGATGTGATCCCTGCCCTTAAGGATATGACAGTTTAGAAATGACATTTTGCTTCATTAAAGAAGCTAATAGTCAAACCAAGAACTTCCAGGGAACCAGTCCCTGTGTCTTCTCACATGGAGTGCTTCTGAACCAGTTTTTTCACCTCCTGTTCTTATACACTTGATTTTTTTTAATACAAATTTTTACATTTTTCTTGGTTTCAGGCCATCCTCCCAGCCTGCGGTATCTTTTTGCATTTGCTACTAGCTCTCTCTTCCAACTTTATGCTACATGCAGATCTGATGATCATGTCTTCTTTTTGTTAACTCAAGATCTTATTTAAAAAATGGATCCAGCACTTTGGGAGGCCGAGACAGGCAAATCACTTGAGGTCAGGAGTCCAAGACCAGCCTGAAACCCCATCTCTACTAAAAACAGAAAAATTAGCTGGGCATGGTGGTGTGTGCCTGCAATCCTAGCTACTCAGGAGGCAGAAGCAGGAGAATCGCTGGAACACAGGAGGCAGAGGTTGCAGTGAGCCAAGATCGTGCCACTGCTCTCAAGCCTGGGCGCCAAAGTGAGACTGTCTCAAAAAAAAAAAAAAAAATTGGTGACAGGTCTCAGAGGGTCCTTAAGTCCTTTAGCATGGCACCAGTAGAGATTTCTTTCCAGGTGGTTCTTAATTGATTGGTCAGTACCTGTAGGGTACCATACAATGTTTTAACCTGGAAAGCCTCTATTTTATAGCTAGAAATAAGTGCCCTATTTATGGGCACCCACAGCACCTGTGAACACCTGTGCTACACTATTTGTGACATTATATTTTAATATTATGTATTTTAATATTATGTATGCCATTTTATTCATCACCATAGTCTCAACATTGAGCACAGTGTATTGCATGTGACTGACACTCAATAAACAATGTTCAGTGACCTAACCTGCATGATTTCTATGGACTTTCCAAACACCCAGGCTATTTGATAAATTTTGAGGGTTAAAATATAAAATTTAGCCCTTCTGACAGTTCTCAGGTCTGCAGCCAGTTTAGCTCTACGTGGTTAGGAACTGGGTCCCACATTTTTGTGTTGGTGTTGGCTCCACAGAATCATACACTTAGGTCTTTGGAGCACTTCCTGATGTGTCATAGGAGTTATCAGTGTCTTCAGATCATCTCAGAGATTCCACATATGATGCAGTGAAATCAGGAGAGAAGAGATGTGTAACCTCCTTATCACTGATCTCCAGTTTCATTGGCAGGACATGTAGAAAGAGCCTGGAATTTGAGAATAGAACTCTGGTTAACAGTTATACTAAATATAATAAAAAACTACAATTTATTTTGGGAAAGCTCATTGAAAGAGAAATAAGAAAAAAAAATCTTCTTTTAATGTAAACCATCTTGAGATATTTATAGTTTTTCATTCTGTCCCCACATGTTTTGCCTTCTTCTTTGATTAACTAAACTATGAGTACCACAGATACTCATTTTTCAAATTTGCTTTCATTAATTCCTCTCCATCTTTTTTTTTTTTTTTTAAGGTATCCAAGTTTCTATCAGTTTGGCAAAAATACTTGGCAACATTTACTGGGATTTTTGAACATTCCACATCCAGTTCTGTGTTAGGGATTTAGGGATTTCATAGATATTATCCTATTTAATCCTCATCTATAAGATACAGGTACATTATTCTGCTTGATTTATTTAAAAAAAAAAAAAAAGAAAGAAGGAAAAAGAAAAGAAATAGACAGAGGGAGGTTAAAACATCCCCACTCTTATCTTGGTTTCTGTCTCTCCCTGTAGTCTGCTGGTGTGTTGCAGAGCTGAGGCTTGAATGGGACCTGATTCCAGAGGCTAAACTCTTTACCCAGCACATGATTTTGCAAAGGGCTCAAAAACATAGAATGCCATGCTGGAAGTGTCCTTAGAGATCATTTAGCTTAGAACATAATGTCTAGTTGTGGACCTGATTTGCTCTTACTTTCTGGGCAAAATGAATCTCCCAGAGTAAAAAACAGGTAAGGGAAATGGATAAAGTGGGAGTGGGGGCTGAGTGGGTTGATTCCAAGTCCCAGACTCCCAGGATGGACTTTCATGTCCGGAATTTTGTTTTTTTGTTTATTGCTTGTTTCTGAGTTAGAGTCTTGCTCTATCGCCCAGGCTGGAATGCCATGGTGCCATCTTGGCTCACCACAACCTTCACCTTCTGGAGTTCAAGCCTTAAGAATTCGAGCCTCGGTCTCCTAAGTAGCTGGAATTACAGGCTCCTGCCACCACTCCTGGCTGATTTCTTTATATTTTTAGTAGAGACAGGGTTTCACCATGTTGGCCAGGCTGGTCTTGATCTCCTGATCTCAAGTGATCTGCCCACCTTGGCCTCCCAAAGTGCTAGAACTACAGGTATGAGCCACTGTGCCTGTCTGGAGTTTCAGAATTGGATGTTGCACACATTTTTTAAAAAACCTCATTAATGTCTTTTTTCATCATTAAAATGTTCGTTTAATAATCATGTGAGGTTGGGGTCTAATTTCAGTTTTAACTGCCACTAACAATGTGACCATAGGATTTTATTGTTGTTTTTGTTCAGCATTTACTGTGCCATATTTTAAGACACACGCTTTAGGCAAAAAAGATAGCAGGAACAAAGGTGTGGTACGTCCACTGAACACGGAGGGAGAGAGCTGGACGTAGGAACTGGCCAGGTTCACTCTGGGGAGTCTATGAGACAAAGATTCTGTTTTTCTGCACAACAAACTGTTTGTTACCTTCAAATAACACAGAAAGACAAAAATCGGTAAGTTTGTATTTCCACAGGCAGTGAAAATGTGAAGATCTGAGTGGTGTGAAATGAAGTCACTTTCAGAGAAAACGTTTTGCTGAAATTGAGGGTGAGCTACATGTGCCTAAGTCATACATAGAAAGTAGAAGACCTGTCCAGGGGACGCACAGCCCCGCAATGTCCCCCCACCACCCAAAAAGGCAACTGGAAGATGAGAGAAGAATGCAAACTGCATGGAATCAGCTATGTACATAGTGACTATAAGTCACAACACTGTGTTTTGGGGCTACAGTCATAAAGATCAAGATAGAAAATAAAAATATTCACCTCTATGTCTGACTAATCTTTCTCCCCCACTCTTTCATTCCTTTCATCCAACATTTTCATCTCTTAAGCCTTTTTTGAAGGATTCATTGTCTCATTTAAAAATAAAGATGGGTAAGGGAGTATGGTTTTCACCTGAGCAAACCAGATGTGGCAGGTTCCGT